GGAGAGGAGAGGAGAGGAGAGGAGAGGAGAGGAGAGGAGAGGAGAGGAGAGAAAAGAAAGTTTTTAGTCTAAATTTAAAGGTTTAAGTTACTAAAGAACTAATTTTAATGTGGTTTAGAAACTTACATAACCTTTCTTTAAGAAGTCGTTGAAACATGTATTTGGCCCCAAAAAATACATGTGGGAATTGGTTGCCATAGAGACCTCAACAGGTAAGCAGAGGCACCGAACCTTTGCTACCATAAAGTTGTGCCATCGTAAAATCAGGCAGGCGAGGGGCAAACCTTGAGTTATAGTTTTGGATTCATAAAATAACGAAGAGTCATGGAAACGGAGGTGGAGAAAAGAGAAATTAAAAATAAAAATGTAATTTCTCAAGAGAAACCACAGGATGTTGGAGGCTGGAGATCATCTGCTCAAAGATCACCCTCGGTCGAAGTAGAACCAGCAAGAGCCGTCTGCTGCGAGTGGCTCCAAGGATGGAGGATCCATGACCCTTGGGTTGGGGTTCACCAACGTACCTGCACGTACTCCCGCACCACTTGCTCGGGGGTGTCTCCCAGGAAGACGTAAAAATCCAGGATTCCCCCAATTGTTCTGTAGGTGACAGCTGGCGCCGGCTGCACCGCGAACTCTGCCGGCAAAAACGCACAAAATCGGTTTGGGAAGTTACCTACGTCTCAAACGACTGCAATGCCAGTGCAAAAAAAAAATTTAGGTGAAAATATCAAAGAAAAATACTCAAGGAAACCCAAAACCATTAACTGGAGCTTGCAACTCAGGTGGAAAGTTATTAGATCCTGGGATTTTTTCCTTTAAATGTCCATATTTACATTCCTTTACAGTCCAGAAAGAGAAGAGAAACCCAACGTGCAGCTTCTTCTCATTCAATTTTCAGCCTCAAGGTGCTTGAACTTTTGTTAAGCACCCAAATTCGTACACACTTCCCTAAAGGAAATTAAGGGCATATATTCACAAGTGCCACTCAGCATCAATTTAGGCTCAGATTTTAATCTCTTGTACTGAAACGCCCCTGAACATGAGCAAAAATGCGCACGAGGTGGTGACGCTGGCCTTGCAAAACGACCTTAATGCTGCTTGCACAGGAAGCACGAGTAAATGCTTGAAAAAAATGGCTTTTAAGATTTCAAGACTTTCACCGATTTAATGGCTTTCACCAATTTTCAGGCAACTTTCTTCAGACTTTGACACTGGACTGTATTTTTTTTTAAAAAATCTACATCGGCTCAGCAGGACGGCAGTGCCACTTAAAGTACTTTAATTTATTTTGCAATACTTACAGAGAAACCCATTGGATTGCAGATTATTTAAATAATATATTTAATTTTTTTTTTTTTTTTTGCAAGGCCTCTGGAGAAGACTTCCTTACCCATGGCGTTGCTATTCATCAAGAAAACGCCAAGAGATGCTCCGCTGTTGTCTTCCAAACACAAGAAGAAGGTCTGAGCACCGTATAAGTTGTCCATGTTCTTGAAGGAAAACAAGAAAGATCAGTAAAAAAAAAAAAGCAGTAACTATGTGCGCCCTGTGGTGTCTCAAAAATGCGTCGCCTGAGGTTAAACTTGTCAAAATCACTGACACTAACCTCATTTTTTTTAATGGAATAACTTTAAGTTGCTTAAAATCCGTTGAAAGCTCAAATTTGGGGAAATCTACCCGAAATTTAAGCCGTTTGGATAAGAATCTCCACATACCCATTATTTAAGAGATGGAGGTTATAAATTGCATCTCTAGTGAGGATGGCAAGAGAATAAAGGAGACGCTTTCCCCAATAAGTTTTGTTGATAAGGAGGCAAATTCCAGTTTTTGGATCAAAAATCGAAATCGACGTGTCGGCCCGTAGACGGGGCCTCAAAACTTGGAAGATTTTTTTGCTTCTTACTGCGCACATCACGCTGCTCCCCGAATCCCCCTGACGTCACACCTGTTTCAGCCAAAGGCTCCAGGACTCACTCCGGATTGAGCCCAGGGGTTAGTGCTGCATTGAACGACCTCCGTTCACCACTCCTTTAACCTCATTATCATCCAAAATAATGAAAAAACATTTTAAATTGAGTTTGAGATGCTGTAAAAAAGCTGGTTGAGAGACTCAAATACAATCAAGTGGAAAAATATTCTTATTATTCCTTTTTTTACTTTTCTTGCGCCCTAGCATTGATTATACACCAGAAATTTAATGTTTTCTACCGGTTTTTTTTTGCGACGTGACCTTGTTGAGCGCTTACGCGCTCCGCCATACATTGCTTTTTTCTCATCAAGCCCAAAATCTACGAATAAGCACAGCAATAACATTTGACTGTTCCCCCCCCCAAAAAAAAACCCACGTTGTGTGTGGGAATCCAATACCAAAAAAAAAAAAAAGGCGAAATAAAGGAGTATAAACACCAACAACTGATTTGAAACCACCCGTTTTGCAAGATGACGCAGAGATAAAGCAACAGAGTGTCAAAAACTCATGGGTTCAGGATAAAACATCTCGATGCAGACGGAAAAATCCAGTTTTATATTTTTTGAAAACCAGATGCCCTCGAAATCGCCTTGGGAAAAAGGCAGAAAAGGTAGAAAGAAAATAATTGCCGGCAGACGTCTTCTGTTTTGTAAAGCAGCTGCCAAGGTGCTTCCTGAGATTCAACACCACGAAGGGAAAAATGCTTTAACTACCGAATTTTGCACAAAAGCGTGGAAAAAAGAAAGCAAAAAAAAACCCAAGCCTGGCAGATATTCATGTTCATCAGCTGCTTTGCAGCAAAACCCAACCAATTCAATCCGAATATTTACAGAAAGCTGTTCCACCAGGAGTTTTACCTCACGTATTGTGCGACGCTTGGCCAGGAAAAAAAAAAATCAATGGATATCGTTAATGCGCCAACATGGCTGGATTCCTGAATTGACCTGAAAAGAAGGAAAATGTAATAAAACAAGTGCTTACGCCGGAAGGGGCCGTGTCCCTGTTGAAGATGGGCCAAGTTTTCCAGTTGACGTCATGTCGGTACTGCTTGTGCACGTGCTCGCCCACCCCGTAGATGTTGCTGCTGGGGAGTCGGATGGAGAGCTGTAAAAACTGCTCGGCGTACACCAGCGGGCCGATGGTGGTGTCGAACCTGGCGAAACGACGAAAAGTTGCACAAAAATTTTCCTGCCGAAGGCTGGGTCCGTGAGTATCGCCAAATCCCCCCCCAAAAACCCAGCTGGTGTTTGAGAAAGCACTTGCGCCATGTGCCACTACTAATTTTCTCATGTGCCTCTCATAATTTGGCTGAAACCAGTCATGTTGCATATTGCAGTAAAACTTTGGGTGTTTTTAATAAAAAATATTTATTAATCGTGAAAACTTTTTTCATTTTGTTCATTTTCATTTTTTCATTCTTTTTTTTTTCCATTGGAATTTTTTTTTTCCAAATTAAATGAAAGCCTAAGGAAAATGTAAGCAATTATGTAGAGCACTGCTTCAAACAAGTCCCAACGTATTTTTTTCCAAATTAATTAAAAACCTAAGGAAAATTTAAGCAATCATCCTGAGCACTGCTTCAAAACAAGTCCCAATAATTTTTTTTTTCCAAATTAAATAAAAACATAAGGAAAATTTAAGCAATCTTCTAGAGTGCCGTTGCAAACAGGTCCCATTAAATTAAATTCTTCTTCCCTCCACGAACTATCTACATCAGTCCTCAGCGCCACTTCCGTCTTTCAGGCGCTCGCTGGTGGTAACTCAGTCTTTAGTGAGGCTTTTAAGAAAGCAAACAACGCTAATAATAGGGAAAAAAGTAAATCCTAATTAATTAAACCTCAAGACTTGATAGCAATCCGCTCCTGCTAGCGGTCAGCTACATAATCACTTTTTAATTGAGTTAATAAATATTCACTCCTGAGGCTTCCGCCTTTCTGTGGGTCTCAGCGCAAGACCGTCAGCCCAGCGTCGCTTGCCTTAGGTCTGGGGTTTTTTTTTAGAAAACAAAGGGATTAAAATCCTTCAGTATAGAAGGACTTTGAATATTTTTCTTACAGTTTTCTAGGACCAGCTTAGCGCTGGTCTCCTATCGCACGCCTGAAGCACAACCTGGTTTTGGGGGTTGAGGACTTTGGGAGAGGCATCGTGATTAAGACATGGTAGACGTGGCAAAAAGTGATGCTGGGAAGGACTTCTCATCGTAGCTGATGAATTGATGGCACGATTCATCAGTTCTCCCCGGGATAAAGGGAAGAAGAGGGCACGGAGCCAATGCAGTAAAACCTAAAGCCAGTGTGATGGACCTCCTCGTCTCCAAAATTTGGTATGGGAAGAGCCTTTCCATGCTGCTTATCCACCAAAACAAGATGGTGAAACCCAAACTCGGTGAGATAGACCTCCCCGTCTCCAAAATTTTACACGGAAAGAGCCTTTCCATCTGCTTATCCACCAAAAGAAGGTGAGATAGACCTCCCCATCTCCAAAATTGTACGTGGAAAGAGCCTTTCCATTTGCTTATCCACCAAAAGAAGGTGCCGAAACCCAAACTCGGTGAGACAGACCTCCTCATTTCCCAGATTTTACGTGGAAAGAACCTTTCGACGCTGCTCATCCACCAAAAGAAGAGAAGCAGCATCTCGCATTCCCAGAGGGCACCTAAGGCAACGTAGACCCTCAGAGAAAACAGATGGCAGCATGGTTTTATCGATAAAAAGATCAAAATTTGCTCACAAAACTTTTCCATCGCTTGCTTTGGTCACCTTGATCCCGAAGGGGTTTTGCTGTACATCGACTTTATACTTTAGGTCAGAGGCTGCTGGACCGCTGAAAGGTCCCACGTGCTCATGGGGGACTTCAAACCTTTGCGTCTGAGGATCGGTGAGCTACTCGAGTTTAAAGAACAAAAGAAGTTTAAAGAACGAAAGAAGCAATTTCACAATTAATGGCTAATTTTAGCCCTTTCCAGTATCACCATCCACATGTCACTTGGCAAAAAAAACCCCACGTGCTGTCAGGCCAAGACACAGTCGACAGCAATAAATGGCCGAATTAAGACCGTGCAGACCCGCCCAGCCTCTGTGTTTGGGTAAATACGAGAGTATTTCCCATCATTGCTTGATCTCGGAGCATTTCTCCCGTGGGAAACAGGCAGAAGGCAGAATTCTGCCCGACCGCGTTCGTAGGCCTTGCCCAGCCCTTCTTCAGGTTCTCGTCACAGTCTGCGTGTCCTGCCTTGGCTGGGCGGAGCCAAACCCAGCCTGAGTTCAGGCTTCCGGCAGGAAAACACGGGGCAAATGCCCTCAGGCCCAAGGAAATCGAAGAAAGAAGAAAAGTGAAAGGAAAAAGGGAAAAGGGAAAAGGGAAAGGAAAAAAGAAAAAGAAAAAGAAAAAGAAAAAGAAAAAGAAAAAGAAAAAGAAAAAGAAAAAGAAAAAGAAAAAGAAAAAGAAAAAGAAAAAGAAAAAGAAAAAGAAAAAGAAAAAGAAAAAGAAAAAGAAAAAGAAAAAGAAAAAGAAAAAGAAAAAGAAAAAAA